TGAGAAACATGATGGGGCTGTTGGGTAACGTGGCAGAAGTCCGCGAATTGCGCCACTTTCTCGTCACGTCGAAATACCTGACTGTTTTTTCGGACCTTTTGGATTCGCGTAGTGACGGAATTGAAGTGAGTTACAACGCCGCTGGAGTCATATCACACATTGCTTCAGACGGTCCAGACGTCTGGCTTGTTTTTCAACCTACTAGGGCTTACGTTTTGAATAAAATGGTGCGTGCCATCGACCGATGGGATTTAAATTCGCAGAGGAATATTAATTATCGTTCGTTTGAACCGATTTTATACTTGGTCAAGGTTTATCACACACCCGAGTGTCAGAAATGGGCTGTTTGGGCGCTGGCCAACATGACCAAAGTTTATCGTAAGTACAAAACGTTCACTTTCACTTTTCAAAAATTGCTAGATGTTGGAGAATTTATCATATGTGTATGTAAATGTGTACACTTGTATTATACAGGGTGATGCAGCTTAAATGACCCATTAGACCCCTCTTCGCAGACAACCTATAATACACAAAGCAATTATTCCATATTCGAATTTTGAAAGTTTAATAAATCGAAAAATATCGTTCTTTGATTCTCGATATTTTGAAAATTTAATAATAATTTATATGTTGTCTGCCAAGAGGGGTTAGGTGGGTCATTTAAGCTGAATTACCCTGTATAAAGAGTATATTATGCATAAATTCATTAGTAAACACTTCAAAGAAAAATAATACCGCATAAACATACCTATGAAGGTATTGAAACTTTTTTAAAAATAAATAATAGCAAGAAATGTGTTTATTACAGTAGATCTACAGATATAGGTATGTAAATTGATCTACAGGTCCAAGTCTGTAGATAGATCTATAGCTACAAGTCTGTAGATAGATATACAGATATATTTATAGATCTGCAGATAGATCTACAAGTCTGTAGATAGATTTACAGGTCTGTAGATAGATTTACAGATAGATCTACAGGTCTGTAGATAGATGTACAGATTCAGGTTTGCAGATAGATTTACAGCTACAGGTCCGTAGATAGATCTACAGCTATAGGTCTGTACAGATCTATATATCTAGATTAGATCTACTGTTACAGGTCTGTAGATAGATTTACAGCTACAGGTTTTTAGACAAATCTACAGATAGATCTTAAGATACATGTCTGTAGACGGACTTACAGATATAGGTCTGTAGATTGATCTATAGATAGATCTACAGATACAGGTTTAACTTAATTTACGACATGTTTTTAGGGTTGTAAAAAAATGGTACTTGGGGACGTTAAACTATTGTTAGTTTACTTTTATAAGATTCTTTCAAAGTTTTCTGCTGGTTCAGACGTGTGATTTAGTTATCTTTTTATGTAGAGGTTTATTTTTAGTGCTTGTTGATATAATTTAATAGTTTCACTTAATTTTAAATTGAGGAAATATGTGTTAAAATTATTTGTTAATTATTTATCTTGAAACAATTTTATTAAGATTAATTAAATCTACTTTCTAAGTTGTCTAGATAAAAATCCCTTGTTAAATAAGGGATATTAGACCCGAAAATCTTACGCGGATCATGCTGTATATATACAAAGGGGTTATAAATGATTTTCATCTAGCCAGCTTTGAATTTTCCATGTAAAATAAAACATGCCGCTTTACGAAAATAGGGGTACCTACTTGTTTTAACTCAAAATTAAAAAATCTCCGTTTAATAAGCGTCCACTTCGAAAATAGACTTCAATTATAAACTCGTTTTCTTCCAAAGTATACATTCTTATCAATTATTATTGGAAATTAGTTGAAACAATAAAAGTTTAATTAACAACAATTTAATATTAATTAATATGTGACACTAATGACAGAACTAGAGCTTTCAAAAAAGTAGAGCGGCACAAATAAACTTACATGCAAGAAAATTCCAAATCTGGCTAGATGAAAATCATTTATAACCACTCTGTACTATACAGTGTGTTTCCGGATAGTTGAATGGACTTTTTAAAAGATTTAAAA